CGGTCTATGGGTAGACGGATCCGTTTAAATACACCTGGATTCTTTTGGGTATCCATAGCAGCAAAGACGTTCTTGCAACCAGATCCATTTCAGAATCCACAGATATTGTGTAAACAGCACTTTTCAGTGCACCCCAAAGAAAGAAATCCATGCAGATTAAATCAGGGGAGCATGGTGGCCAGGGAACCTATCCACCACGCCCATTCCATCTTTTGAACAACAACACCTTCCGACCATGGATTTCTATGCAAATCTATATCAAGTCTATATACAAAGTTTGTCTCAATAATCCTGGGACTGCCTATATAGTTTAAAGAGAATTCAAATTGGTACAATAAAATTTTTATAGAGTTTTAGAACGTAATTTTTTTTAAAAATAGCTTAAGGAAAATCTATTTATATAAATCATTTTAATTTGTTTTGAGCAATCCCTAATAAGATAGGATTAATTAACCATCGCTTTTAAGTTGATCGTTACTTTTGTAAACAAAGGCTATACTTAAAGTCTAGTGAACTGTATGAATAGTCTTATAATTAATGTGAGTGAAATAATTAAAAAAAAAAATCCTTTAAAAAGAGGATTGGCAAAATCCTTTAAAAAGAAGATTGGCAAATGTCAAATTTTAGTTTTTAAAATAAAATTTAAGAAAAAAAGTGACTGTGTAAATAATTAAACTGCCGACTGGAGTGAGTGATCTTCGCCTGAGAGCTCTCAATCAGAGGATGGGGATGAGAACGGGTGACAAAATCTTATTTACTCTCATCTAATAGAGGGGAGAAGAAAAAAAGGGTGAGGAACGAAAGTAAAATTTAAAATTATCTTCAAAGTCGTGGAGATACTTCCAATTAATCTATCGGCGGACAAAGGAATTTAGCTTCTAGAATAGTTCGACCGGGAGAAATAATTAAATCATAGAAAGAAAAAAACGAAGAATAGGATAAAAAAAAATTTCGCCAGTTTCATTTGCATGCAAGTCTTTTACTTTTTCCCAATGAGAACTAGACCAAAAAAAAAAATAAAAAAATCCAGAAAAAAAACCACAGTACAGAAAAAAGTCTTAGAGTCGCGATTATTTGCATTAGAAAAAACGAATTTGAAGTAACTTAAGACACTGATATAACAATAGTAGTAAAAAATATTAAAAAAAAATGGAAAGTCGCAAACGCCATCCGCAAATAATAATGAAGGAAAAATTTTTTAGAGTTACAGAATATCTTGCTGTAATGAAAAGAGACAAAGAAAAAAAAAGAATGGAACCAGATTGTGTTGATTTTAGGTGTTAATGTATTCACGGAAATGACTTTTTTAGGATCTTATTAACGATCAAAGAGGCGATTCTAGAAAGGATAAAGTAGTTGACGAAAGAAGAGATGGCAATGAAGCGCTAATATCTCTTGCAGGGACACATTATTTTTTTAGACTTTCTTTTCTATATTGATACTGGAAAAGTTAGCGCTTTTTAGGACGTTTTTTTCTTAAATCTTTAGAAAGTCTTAAAAGCTTTTCCCTCCCAGATATGTTTAGTTTTGCTAAATGTCAAAATCAAGATTTCATTTCAATTCTGGATAGATGACATTTTGATGTTTAATTATTATTTCTTTTTGTTTTGAAATTAGGACAAAATTAAAAGCACCACTATAATATTTTATAATTTCAAAGGTAAGCATATTCGATTGCTTTGTCCTAAAAGCAAGCGTACCCTCTAGTGGCAGAGAAATCAACTATTGTGAAAGTGAAAGATTTGATGGTGTCATTGTGTCTGAAAGCCATTGAGATGAAGTTCCAGTGACACACTACGCTACTGGTGTGTATAAATTCAATAATTAGTGAATTTATCAATTATTATAGAGAGGTTCAATGGATTTTTCATGAGTTCAGCACAGCAACTCATCTACGACACCAGATTAACAACAAGCAAATTATTATTTAATAACTAATATAAATTTATATGTTGACAGTTCCATGTCTGCAAGATCTCTGATGAAAAATCAGAGTACGCATTTTACTTTTGATTTGTTTTCAGCATGTTCATCTGTGGACCTCATGCCATCTAAATCGACATTCAATCAATCAATCTATAATTTTCGCTCACAGTATCCTCTGTGCTAAGGGGTTTTGAAAGCTACATTGGCTACCATTATCCTTCTTTACATACTTTAATTGGTGTGGAGCTCCATGACAATCTTTACCTTTACCAGTTATCATGATAATCTTTACCTTATCCAGTTTTTTTAATGTGTATTCTTTCTCTACAGATAGATCCGGTTTTTAGACAAAGTCCATGGTGTAGTATAGCAATTCATGGATTTGGTGCCAAAAATACCTACTAACTAACCATGAAGATGAATTCCTAAGTAAGTCCCAATTCCATTCACACGTGTCTTACTGGGATGTAATATAATTGACGATTCTACGGAAAGTGAAGATATTCGTTGGATGGATTAGTCAGCTGGATCTCCTGGGATGAAATTTAAGCAATATGCTTGGGAAAGTTGCGATTGTGTAATAGGAACTAGCATTTCCTTTCCAAGGGACAGAAAAGTGAGTTAGAAAATGAGTGAGATAAATTGCCATTTACATTTCAAAATTAGAGCACCAGTTTGAAGTAACCTTCTACAAATCGAACAAAAGAAACATGAATATGATACAGGACTCCTTCAAGAACTCCTTGCATGCGATAATGTTGAAGCTTTTCTGTCAATAACTGGTTAATCAAAGAAAACTCTTATTTGCGTCCGAAACTCTTGTTTGGAAAATTACATAATATATAGATGACAAAAATGAGCAAAATCAACAAAGTGTACTGGTAAAAATCGCAATGAAAACTAACTAATCAACAAAACATCATTCCAAAGCTTGTTTAAAATTGAAGTATACAAACGGATTAAATTATTATTCATAAATTACAGTTGCCAACAGAAAAAAACGATAGAGAAATGGGAGCCGATAGATCAAAATTATTAATTACTGTAAAACCAACAAAAATTTTATCACTCCATCTGCCAAAGAGATATAATTTTAGAAATTAATTGTTATGTTGTTTTAGAAAATTCTTAATTTAATTATCAATTTACTAACATTTTGTAATATTTTTCCAAGTGACAGTAGAAGATGGCCGCAACGATAATATATATGTAATAATTATAATCATAACTTTAAAATTTACTACAAACAATATTTAGCAACACACCATTTTGAAACTCTATATTTGTTGTAAATGATAAAGTAAATCGGTCAAAAAAAATTGGTTACGTAAAATAAAACTTTCTATTTTTTTGCTCATTATATACGTGTAAAAATACATCAACAGTAAATGTTAAGTAAAAAAATGACAGGCTGTTATAAGTAGTATGAATATTCATTAAAAAATACATGGCAGTTTCCTTTTAAAACTTGACAAGAAACACGTTTAATAGTCAAAGAATTTCTAATGCATATAAAATTAAAAAAATCGTCTTTTTTTCCGTTATAGATAATTTGTTTTCATCCCTTCATTTTAACAGAAATCGCACTTTCGTCAGCGTATTTCAATATCATTCTTTTTTGGATTAACAGAATCGTAAAAAGAGAAAAAAAGAAAATATGTGTTCAACTTGATACGAATGGAAATTTATTTTACGTAGAGGGATTTTTACGTCAATATAATTGTTTTTTTTCTACTATTAATATATTTGCCTCCTTGGGGTTTAATTTTGTCTCGTATTTTTCTTTGTAATTAAATGGAAATGAGGAATACAACACCAATTAAAGATTAAAGCACCAATTTGTATTGCAATTTTTACTTTTTAAACTTGAATGAAAAAAAAAAAATTTGCATACAAAAAATATTGTAGCATAATTTCGAACATTCTATGGCTTTCTTCATAAAATTGATGTGATTGTAAATTACCATCTTAAAATGCAAACGTTTAAACTCTGAGAGACATAAAATTGTTTTAAGTTGCCATCGATTTTAAAATAAAATTTCATACGAATCCAAAAGGCATTAGTTTCTTCTCAAAATTCCAAAACAAAAAGTAACCTTCTACAATAGAATAAATCGTCTATTACTTTTAGAATATTCCCAACTCGTCCGGAAAAAAAATACATTAAAAATAAATAATCCAATGGAAATTCGTTTTCGTAAAACACCTCAAGATCATACCCAGATGCATAAGAACAATATAAGAAATGAAATTAAAAAATAAAAATAAAAACCTAATGCGTATTTTGTTTCCCAAAAATGAGAGAAAAGCTTGTGAGGAAAAAAAAACTTCCCAGGATATCGAAAAATTGTATTTTGTTGAGAGCAATATTTATTTCCGTCTTCACTTTTAATATGACGAGGAATAAAAAAATGGATAAATTCTAACTGAAAAAATTATTCATGTGCTTTCACTATTTCTATTCTTTGGTCTTGCATTTGATCATATTGCATTGGCTACAGCGTTGATTATCCACCTATTTTGCATACATATTGCATGAGATATAAGAATTTAATAAACCACTTTCGCTTGTTCCTGCCCAAAGAAATATTAATTAATGGTGCAGTCACTTTCCTTCGAGTAATTTTTCTTACTTCTTACCCTCTTTAACTTAAGGGGAGGCAGAAAACGGGGGTGCCTGAACTGCTTTAGAAGAATATTATTTTTATTTCCTTTGCTGTCTTCTCTCCGTTCACGATATTTAAATTTTTATCGTTAAGAGGATGCCTTGTCTTTGAAATGAAGCTTAGTAGAGGCTCGGTTTTATTGCTTCTGACCAATCTCAGTCATTATCACCTTCTCGAGAACTTCGGAGATGATGCATCATAGATGAAAGGCATCAGTGATTGGACAATAGTATTTATAGTTCAGCCGTCTGTAATTTTTGGAATATTTCCGAGAAGAATTTTGTACCCTTTCGAATGAAATTAATAGTGCGGACTCGGTTTAATCGAGCATTTAGAGAAAAAGTATAATTAATGTGTACTGCGTTAATCTGTTGGGATTTATTTTCAAACAAAACATATAGCAAGTAATAGATATTTATAATTTTTTTAATGTTAAAACATTTTAAATGTTCCAAAATATTCTGCAGAAGTTCATTACATTTTATATATTGTATTCTGTTGCTGTCTTAAACAGATGGACAGACGTTCTTATATGAGGACTTGAGGTCTCGAAACGGCCCTTTCTCCATCCATCACTAATATCTGCTGAGGTTGGATAGAATCAACCTTGAGGTTAGGTTGAATCCACCTTGAGGTTAGGTTGAATCCACCTTGAGGTTAGGACGCAAAGTGACTGCATAATTTCGTGGCTAGAAAAAAAGCATATGATGATAGCAAAAGACATATCTCAGTTTGCAAGGAATGTAAATGTAAATTGTATACAAATTTGAATAGTGTCTAATTAAGTTTGAGAAACAAGCTAAATATAATAACTTTTTTCGTTAAATAACTAGCAGTTATTGGTATTAAATTTATAGTTAGGTTTAAGTAACAGGTAAATGGCACATATTTACAGTATACGCAATGTATCCTATTTTTTTTATCAAAATGAGGGGAAACGAATCAGTGTAGCATGTTTAAGAACCTGGTTAAAGATAATTATTTACAGTATATAATAGTGAATTGCATCAATTTTAATCCCTTGCTTGTATAATAATGAATTGTATTACCTGTGACGCCCGAACTCATTTCGGGTGAGGCGAATGCGTTAGTTTTGGAAGACCCGACCTGAGTTCTGTTAAGAGGTGCTTCAATGGTGCTTCAAATTCCGTGAAGCCCGAACTCAGTTTGTAGAATACCTAATGTGTAATTCATCCTTTTCCCATAAGATTTCCAATAGATTTTAATTTTTCTAGCTAAAAGTTCAACAGTTTCGCGTTATTTATCAGATTTTTGGAATTTGTCGAAAATTTCTGAGGGACATTGAATTCATAACAATTTATATAAATATTAATATTGCTGTACTGGTTTGTTATATTTATCTTGAAAATTATATCATTTAATTTGTTTTGCTATAATTTGTTCAAAACTTACTATAATCCATTAAGATTTCCAACATATGTGAAAATATTGAATATAGTAGTAATTTCGCTTAAGTTTTTTTAAATAATCTATTTCTAACATTTTGATGCTAATAACTAACAAAATTATGAAGAAAAAAATCCATATTTTGCATGTTTTTCTCAAATATATTCCACATGCAACAGGCTAAAAAGAAGTATGAGAAACAAGTTGATAAAACATATTTACAGTATACAGCCGCTGGCCAAATTATCAGTTGCACTATAAGATTCCATGTAAATCTTAATTATCAGGTGGTACTATGCAGCCTTATTGTTTTTATGTTACTGATACGGGTTTGTACTTGTTTACGTTAGTGTGTCAATTGGTTACATTAAATGACGGATAATATAATTATAGAACATTTATATCAAGCATTATATTAGTATATTATAATAATTAGATCAAGTTATTAGAAGCACAATAGTTTTTCAAAAATTACAGGATTTGCACGAGTTTATAAGAAATACTTTTTCAGGATTTATACTTTTCAGGATACTTTTTCAGGGCATTTATTCAGGAGTTTTTTTTATATACTTATATACTTCCTATTTGTATTTATTTTTCAAGTATTGCATTACAATGTTAACCAATTGATACAGGAGCGCAAACAAATGCAAACCGAGTAAAAACAATACAGCTGTATAGTATCACATGATAATTGTAATTTTACGTAGAATCTCATAGTGCGTCTAATAATACAGCCAGAGACTGTATACATAATAGTAAAATTGAAAAAAAAACAATTTTATTCCGTTGCTGTCATTTCGCCGTACACGATATTTAAATTTCTATCATTAAGGTGCCAAATCTTTGAAATGAAGCTTGGCTGGAAGCTTCGTTTTATTGCTTCTGACCAATATCAGTCATTATCATGATCTCGAGAACTTCGAAGATGATGCATTATAGATGAATGGTTTTGAAGCTTCAGTGATTGGGCAATAGCATTTATACGTGTTCAGTTCAGCCATCGATGATTCTCGAAATATCTCTGGGATTAATTTCATATCCTTTCAAATGAAATGAATAGTTTGGGTTGAACACACAATTGTTTAATTCAGACTTTAAAGAAAAAGTATAACTGATGGTTTTAATCAATTTTATCGATTTTTAACGTAGTTTTCGTTTCAGAACTAGCCGAAATATTTCTTGCAAAACATTCACACCAGTTGAAAATAAAAGGTTCAATTTAAATTGTTTTTAAAAGATTCTACTATCAAATTGTGTGTTCAAAGATTGGAATTATTTTCCTCAATCTAAATTATTTATCAGATATTATTCCCTTTTTCATCATTTACTGTTTTATCAATTTCATGTGTTTTCGTAAAAGAAATCTCTAGTATTCATTTTTTATTTATTTAAAACCAATTATTGGTGCAGTATGGCTTTTTTTGAATAATATACCATTGAATCTTACATTAAACTCCCAATAATTCTGAAGTACTTTTTCAGAAAAAAAAATTCAATTACAACATGAAAGGACATTTTTTTTGATAAATTTCTTATAGCAATGCATTCTTAATCATAAGAAAACAGCAAAATTAAATACTCAACAGCTTAGTATATTTTAGAATATGAAATCCTTCAAAAGCATAAGGTTCACGATTTTTAAATGTCTCTATTTTAATTTTTGTCATTCTGATTTTTGATTGCGTTGAAAAACAAATATCAAAATATTAAACACTAATACTAACATACTACATACTAATAAATTTTGACATTATTCAAAAGTTTAACTAACGTGAATACAATTTCGGGAATCGTGTGTTCGTTTTTTTCTTAAGAAAATGATATTATATATTTTTGCAGCATACCGATGATCTTAAAAAAATATTTTAAATAAGTTCGACGTAGGCAATTAGTTGATCTAAACTTACTATTTTTCATTATTTAGTAGCATAAATTAGCATAATTTCGATAAGCACGAGAAGACTTTGTTTACTACGGGTAGCCTGACTCATCTTCATTTACTTTTGGGGGAAACTACTGCAATACCTTTTATGTTTTACTTTGCCCGTGATTATAATCTTTTGCCTGTGATTTTAATCTTTTGCCCGTGATTTTAATCTCTGGCCCGTGATTTTAATCTTCCGCCCGTGATTTTAATCTTGCCCGTGATTTTAATCTTTTGCCTGTGTTTTAACCAAAATGAAATAAAATGTTCAATTTCATTAAATAGCTTGTTAATTAACATTAGATGAATAAGAATAAACTCTACGATAGAAAAATTGCCCAAATAATCTACAATAATATAGTATACTCTCATAATATAAAATACAATTTCGAAAATACAATAGCAAAGAAAATAAAATGTTAAAAGATGGCAATATACACAATCGTGTAAATTCATTCACTAAGAACAGCCAAATAAAAATCTTAGCAGATTATACTCCTAATGGATTATATAAATCAGTAAACTATGTAATCATTTCTGTTCAAGTATAAAGATATGTTAATAATAGATTGTTTCAGAAACAGCTGCATATTGCACAAAATAACAACTCAGATTAGAACAAAAGTAATCTTTATTATTCGTCTGTGTTTCAATGCTAGAACAAAGAATAATCTTATTTAGTTTTTATTTGTCAGAATAGCATTAGTTCCTTTTAATCAAATGATGTAAGAAAACATTTCGCTACAATCTCTAAATAGGATATTTATCAAGCATGTTGTCTCTGTAGTATTATCTCAGAAATGTTTCCTCTAAGAGTATATCCTCCTCCCTGATAGATGTGAAACGAAAGCACATACTTAGGTTTTATTTTATTACATTGATTTTATTTAAAGATATCTCAGTTGGACTGTAAAATTATCTTAGCTTTCTATTATTTCGAAAATAACAATAAATAAGGCAGTTCGAAAAACTTTATACCATTTCTTGCTCATATAGCGGAAAGAAAACGAATTAAATATTGCAAGTTAAATTTTTCTTTAAGAGTTCCGATCAAACACGAAAGGCTTTTCTGTTACATGCAACAAATAAGCTGGTGCTGGTTGGTGTAACAAATAAGCTAATACGATTCTCTTTTGCTCCAATTAACAACTTCTATAATAATTCGTCAGATTTCGATTATGCTTTTGCTTTCTCTTTCTTCCTTTATCCTTTGATGCGGGATTTGTATTAGACTTTTTTCATATTTCTTTTCATTATTTTGTGTTCATTTAGGTCATAATAAGAGAAAATTAGAATTTTAATTATTTATGGTTAAGAAATACACCGGTGTCTTTTTCAGCGTGTAAGGTGAAATCTACCAAACGCGACTTCCATATAATTTTTCAAATTTGCACTTATTTGTAGTTATTTATATCTAAGAAGAACAGTTTTTAATCATTAAAATTTACTTTATTTACAAAATCAATTATTGATAAATGTAATACGAAATAAACAGTTTTTAATCATTAACATTTAATCATGAACAGTTTTTAATCATTAAAATAGAATATAAATGAAAAACGAACCTCTAACCATTTTTTTTGTATATTACATTTAAGTAAAATTCCGATAATCCAGCAGATGTTTTTAGTAACTACCGGATTACTTTTTATAATTAAAAAATACCAAAATATATTTTTGCTAGTATATATGTATAAAAATTTTGTAGTCTTACCCTACTTTTTGGTGTCATTTTATAAAAAAAACGCCTAAGACCAAATTTTAACTCATCAGAACAATATTTAGAGGTAAACTCAAAGACGTTATATTTTTGTAAAAATGGAAATTTAACACTTTTTTTATGCACAATTTTAAATTGAAGACAGTACTTGAAAACTTTTAAAAATTTGGGTTTTGACATTTTTATAATATCCAATTAAAGATCTTTCCAACAATTGAGCTATTATGTATTTAATCAAATTATAAGTTGGTTAAGATCGAAGTTAAAAATTTAAACAAATGATCCATATAATGTGCCTTACATACATTTGACATGAGAAATGAAAATTTCCGCAGAAGTTTTCAAATATTTTTAGTTGCTTCTGCTAAGTTTCTACCTATTATTTTAAAATAAGTCTTCAGCAAACTTTTAAGCTTTAAACTATCTACAAGTTAGCAGAATGATATTTATTATGAAAGCTATAAGCAAATAATGCATGAGAGCTAAATAAGTATCAATGTTCCTACTAGACAGATAATATCGCAGCATGCTCAATGTTCTTACTGCTTTAGCATCTTCTCTCATAAATTAAATTCTTAAAAAATTGAATCAAATTCCAGGAACAATGTATACCTTCTAGGTTCTTTTGTGACTAA